TTGGACACTCCCTTGTGCCTCCGACCTTCACTGCCAAGACATGCGCATTCCACTTCCTGTGTGAGCAGCAGAAGCTCTGCAACTTCCCCTGCAGTCCTGCCGGCCTCTGTGAGCAGGGCCAGGCTGGTGGCTGAGAGTCTCTCCCTCCCTGCCCCCAAGGAAGCAGCACGTGTGGGGTGTGTGTCCTACATGGCTGGTCCAGGAGCACACACTTTTGGAGAACACTGCCTGGAAGCACTGTCTGCCCGCCTAAGCGATGGATGGAGAGGCCCTTGGCCCTCAGGAGAGTTGCTCTAACCACCACACCCAACCCAGCCTTGGGGCCCAGCATTCCTGCCACCCACTCTGTCCCAACCTGCTCAGAAAGTCCCTGATCCTGCTAACAGCCTGCCTTTTCCCTTCCTCCCTCCACACCAAGGAATCTCACCTCCTCCTCCCCTGAGGAGACTCTCAGTAATTCTGCCCTTAGCCCAGCTGTCTTCTCAAGGATGGAGAAACATCCTTGTCCTTGTAGTCTTGCCACCTAGTCCTATAACAACCCATCAGACTAATGCTGAGGTGTCAGGGTTCTCTTTGGATAGGGCAAGTGATACCTCGATTGCACTGTATTTCCCAGTTATGTATTGCTTATGTCCCAAAAGGCTTTCACCTTAAACAGCTTGGACCCCTTTATTAAACTCTTTTAATTACGATTATAATTATCTTATATTATCTTTTAATTACAATTATAATTATGATTATAATTATCTTAAGTTTAGCTTCATGCCATTACCAAGCTAAAATTTGAGCACTCTTTTCTAAAAATATTTTTTACTTATAATTCTTTTATTGTATTGACAATACTAGGAAATCAAAATTCTTGAGAATTTTTGGCTTTACCTACATTCTGTTTTTTATATTTCTTGCTGTTGACCTTGTGTTTGTGTGTGGTTATGGTAAATGATACAGTTCATGTGCTGCAGGATTCAAATTATTTTATTTTAATAAGATTTTTTGGCATCTGTAATAGATATTTAAAAATCAATATGTCTGGTGACAACAATAAATCTCCAGATTCTCCTGACAATATAAGCAAAGACCTTTTAGCTGTTCTTATCGTTTCTCAATAAAGTGAGTGGGACTTGGCTTTGGCATGAATCAGGTCTGTGTCTTACAGTGTTTCTAAGGAGGATGGACACCTTCATGGCACAACAGTGGTCGTGGTCCTTATTTGAACCTCTGAAAGTAGATCCTGAGATGAGGATTCTGCTGCAGGTGACGTATTTGAGGTTTGGTTCACAGCCCGAGTAGGAAGAGAGCCTGAAGAGAATGAAGGTTGAAATTCACATCCTTTAGTGAAGAAATTGTTATGGGTTTAATAGTTGACTTGACCTGTGCTGGGATGTCCCAGAGCCTCAGGAGCACTTTCTCCCCACCCTGGGAATCCCTTGTTGTTTGAGAAATTTAAAAGATGTTGTTTAGCATCAGGCCGTAGTACTGACCAGGCACCACGGGTTACCCAGGGTATCTCACCAAGAGATCCACTTGGGCTCAGACACTGGCCTGGATGCATCACCTACTCAAGCAGCAAACTCCATCCCAGATACACCCGAGCCTCACTCTTGGACTCATTTTTCCCTCTCTGGAAATACTACCATGTGACACTGGCACTGCCTGTCCTCTAGTACATGAGCCCCAAGTGGTTAGTGCTTTTTTGCTGTGCTGGGTTGTTGCTGAAGCTGATGCCTGAGACAGAGCCAGGAATATAGAGGCACTCAGTGATTTTACAGAATAAAGGAGAGTGAATAAACCAGCGGCTACAAGAAGCACTGTCACCACTCTTCTCGTCTGTGGCCACATCCTTCTCAGCTGATGGCTTGAGACATAGACATTGAAAATGCCAGCAAACCCTGCAGGCAAAGCTCCCACTTTCTTGTCACTGTAGCGCGTCAGACTCTGCTTCCACCCGGGAGGAAGGCTAGAAAAGACATCCTGAAGCAGACAGCCAGGGGAAAGCAGATTGCCCAGGTGGGCAATCTCAGGCAGCCAGCACCCCAGGTAATGCACCCAACCCCTCATCCCAGCAAGCTGTCAAGCAGGGAGGGTCCTTCCTCCCCTGGCCGCAGCAGAGTGGGCTTGAACCTGCACACCGTACCCCCGCTATGGGACAGTCTTGTGCAGAGGCCGCTTCAGAGCCACGGGGCTGTGGCCGACCAGCAAGGTCTCTCTTGAGGGCCCCTCTATATAAGCAAACCTCAGAGAGGCCGAGTGTTCTCAATATTTTCCACAAATTTTGTTTCCAGAAAACGCCTCTGGAGTCTGCTCACACCCAGCGGCTGCCTGTGGCTGGGTGCGGCTATGCAGGCCAGCTAGGCCAGGCTAGAGGCATCTCAACCCCACAGACTCCCACCACATCCAGATCCGCTCAGCCTCCTCTGCACCACTACCCACCCGAGGTCTGACCCCCACTAGCCAGCTCCCTCACCCTGAGGTCCCCACAGCCCTTTGCTACTCCTAGGTCACCCTTCCCAGCAGCCCTGCTGATCCCAAGTTAAGAGTCATCTCTCTTCCCCTGTGTAAGGTCACAGTGCAGGGATCCCACTGTCTCCACGGCCCTGGGTAACCCTGCCCTTGAGTCACTTCTCCCGTACAGCCCCTCCACTTACGCTGCAGGAAAGCACCATGGCCTACACCAGATAAGCAAACCCCCAGTCACTGGGAACGGCCTCAGACCGGGTAAGCCCACGGACCTCCATCTGTGTTCAGAACCGACAGAGGCTGCAGGCTGCAGGGATGCTCACAGAGGGGCCAGCAGACGGGGCCTCCATCTTTTTGTGTTTTCTTTATATTTTTACAATCCCCTTGCTTAGAGAAAATTGTGCTTTTCCTTTGTTTTAAAGTCACATGGGAGGAGAGTTCTAGAATTTAAAGTTTAGGCTGAACTACACTCTGTCCTAACAGCCTGGTCCTTTCTCAGGAAGAGTGACTAACCCCCAAGGAATCTGCCCAGCAGCCTTGTTTATGAAGCCTCTTGCTTCCAGGATAATCGAGTTTCACAATCCTGGAGAAACAAAGGCGGGATTTGTATAATTGGTAAGTGAAACTGCACTCTGTTCTTACAAGGAAAGAGCAGAACTAAACCTCAGAGAGGGAAAGTGACTGATTTTGGCAACCCAGCCCACTCTGGTCCCACGCCTGGGATGCTCGAACCTTGTGAGTGGAGTGTCCCCGGATCCCCAGGTCCCTTTGCAAGGCCCTCTCTCTGGTCTGCTGTTGAGGTCAAGACCCACAAATCCTTACAGACCTGGAAAGAGCCATTCTGAGAGGCTGTGCCTCCCCACAGAGCCACCAAGATAGGGCATGACCTTGATTCTCCTGACTCTGGCACTCCAGAAAGTCAGGGTTAGGGTTAGGGTTAAGGTGAGCATCAAGGTCAGCATCAGGGTCAGCATCAGGATCAGAATCAGGGCCAGGGTCAGAGTCAGTTTTAAGGTCATGGTTAGGGTTAGGGTTAGGGTTAGGGTTAGGGTTAGGGTTAGGGTTAGGGTTAGGGTTAGGGTTAGGGTTAGGGTCAGGGTTAGGGCCAGGGTTAGGGTCAGGGTTAGGGCCAGGGTTAGGGTCAGGGTTAGCATCAGGGTCAGGGTCAGTGTTAGGGTTAACGTTATGGTCAGGATAAGGGGTAGCATCAGGGTCAGGGTCAGTGTTAGGTTTAACGTCATGGTCAGGATAAGGGGTAGCATCAGGGTCAGGACCAGGTTTAGGTTCAGGGTCAGTGTCCGGGTCAGCATCAGTGTCACGATCCGGGTCAGTGTCAGGTTTAGGAGTACGGGTTAGGGTTAGGGTTAGGAAGGAAGGAATGGTTGACACAGAAGGGCTCAGCCGCAAGTCCAGGGAATTAGAATGGTGAAGAAGAAACAGACACAAAAGGCTGGGTGCTATAGGGGTGATGCCTTGCTGCCAGGCAGTGAGCTTGTTGGTATGGGAATTGAGAGGAGGGTTATATAAGAATTGCATTGCACATGTGTGTTAATGCCCACATACACACAGAAAATTGATAAATCCTAAAAGAGGTAAAACCACTGTGGAAATCAGTGTGGAGATTCCTCAGTAAACTAGGACTCGATGTTCCATTCAATCCAGCTATTTCCCTTCTGGGTATTTTCCCAGAAGAATTAAAAACATCATATCACAGTGATACATGTGCCCCTATATTTATAGTAGCACAATTTGTTATAGCTAAATTGTGGAAGCAGCCCAAATGCCCATCAAATGAGGAATTGATTAAAAAGTTGTGGTATTTTTATATAATGGAATATTACTCAGGTATAAAGAAAGATAAACTCGAGGCCTTTATAGGTAAATGGACACAACTAGAGACCATACACCTAAGTGAAATAAATCAGACCTGCATGTGTAAACACCATACTGTCTCACTAGTGTAAGAACCTGAAAGAGTGAATAAAATCTAGGAGGCACAATAGATGTTGTGAAAAGGAAAGAAACTGCTCAAAAGTAAAGAACTGGAATAAGGATAAAGAGAAAACAAAGAAGGGAAAAAATATGTGTATATGTATACACAGGATAGCTAACATAGTTGTACTACTGATTTTTATTGCTTTATTGAAAGAAATAGTTAATGTTTAATTGTTTGATCAATCTTACATGTCTATATTTGTTTATCTGAGTAACCAATTTGAAGATATCAATGTGTAATATGACAACCATTGTTAATTTCCTGTCACCTTGTCTGAAATTCTGTATTGCTTGTATTGTTTTGTGTTATTTTGTAAATGTATGTGTGTTTGTTAATATGTTTTCATTCTTTTATTTTTTTGTGGGGGGTACAGTGGTCTTTATTGGTGGTATGCAATGAGCCAGGGCTCCTTAGGCCCCTCCCCTTCTCCAGGGGGCCTGGGATGGAAGTTGTGAGGGGAGATTCTCAGTGTTGGGTTTGTGTGGGGTGGTGATTTCTACAGCAAGGCCTCTCCCTCTGATCTCACTGGGCTGTGATAGGGGGCCCCTTACTCCTTGGAGGCCATGGAGACCATGAGGTCCACCACCCTGTTGCTGTAGCCAAACTCATTGTCATACCAGGAAATCAGCTTGACAAAGTGGTCATTGAGGGGGATGCCAACCTCAGCGTCAGAAGCGGAAGAGTGGGTGTCACTGTTGAAATCACAAGACACAACCTGATCTTCAGTGTAGTCCAGCAGGGGGCCAGCTGACACCTGCTTTACCACCTTCTTGATGTTATCGTATTTGGCCGCTTTCTCCAGGAAGTGGGTCAGATCCACCACTGACACGTTGGGAGTGGGCATGTGGAAGGCCATGCTCATGAGTTTCTCATTCAGCTCTGGGATGACCTGGCCCACAGCCTTGACAGTGCCAGTGGACACGGGGATGATATTTTGGGCAGTCCCGTGGCCATCATGTAACAGCTTCCCACAGGGGCCATCCATAGTCTTCTGGGTGGCAGTGATGGCATGGACTGTGGTCACGAGTCCCTCCACGACACCAAAGTTGTCATGGGTGACCTGGGCCAGTGGGGCTAAGCAGTTGGTGGTGCAGGAAGCATTGCTGACAGTCTTGAGGGAGCTGTCATACTTCTCGTGATTCACACCCATCACAAACATGGGGGCATCAGCAGAAGGGGCGCAGATGATGACCCCCTTGGAACCACCCTTCAAGTGAGCCCTGGCCTTCTCCATGGTGGTAAAGACACCAGTGGACTCCACCATGTACTCAGCGCCAGCATAGCCCCACTTGATGCTGGTGGGATCTTGCTCTTGTAAGAGGGTGATAGATGGCCTTTCCCTTGATGATGAGCTTCCCATTCTCGGCCTTGAAAGTGCCATGGAACTTGCCATGGGTGGAATCATACTGGAACATGTAGACCATGTACTTGAAGTCAGTGAAGGGGTCACTGATGGCCACAATGTCCACTTTGCCAGAGTTAGCAGCGCTGGTGACCAGGCATCCAATATGGCCAAATCCGTTCACTCTGACCTTCACCATCATGTCTGGACCATGGCCGGCGCTGCACGGGAAGAGTGGCTGTTGGTAGGCACACCGGAGCATTCTATCTCATTCTTTTATCTTTAAGATAAAAAAAGAAAAGAATTCCTAAAAAGACCCATGCATTACAGCAGTGTCCTTGTCTTAACTTTGACGTTATCCCATTTGGTAGGACACCACCCCAGCCCAGACTTCCCCATGCCTCCCCTCAGTGGTGTGGCCTCCCTTTCTTTGCCTCACTCAGGTTCTCCTCTAGACTGTGGGTTCCAGAACCAGTGGCCCCAGGGATCCCCTGGAGAGCCTCGCCTGCCACTAGATGTCTGGGGTTAAGTGGTCACGGGCAGAGCCTGGGCATTTGAAGTTTTAAAAGCTCTTCAGTGATTTCTATCCATTCCAGGAGCACTGATCTGCAGCTCCTGAGTCCATCTGTCCTCTATTCCTTGATCCAAAGCAGAGTCCCACAGGTAGCAGTTGATAAGCACTCATCCATGCAGTGAGACAGGAAGGAAATTCATCACCAACTTCCTGAATCCACAGGTTCCAGACCCTGTGGACCTGTCCGGTGGGTTCACAGGATGAGGTGAGCAGCACCCCACCTGTGGGTGTGGCAGAGCCCTCTGGGAGTGGAGCCCCGCTCCGTTTTCTCTGGGTTGTGGCCTGTGGATTCTGCACCCAGGCGGAGGTTCCCATGCTGGGCTGGCTCACAGTGCCCGTTCTAGGGCTCCAAAGCATAGAGAAATAAGCCTGCAGAGCTCAGGTTGGCAGAGCGAGACTTTTCCCTTAGGTCATGAGCCAGGACATCAGATTTGGTGATTTGCAAAGGAATCTGTGCTCTTCGGATGTCAGGAACCGTGCCCAGGCCTCTGCTGCTGTACTGCTGCCCATGTGCACGCTGCACTCAGAGCAAACGCCCCAGTATTAGGAACAATCAAGGCACAGCTGATGGAGAAGCAACACTTGCCCGTGTCCAGTGCTCCCCGAGTAGACATTCCTGTGTCCCAGCTCCTGAAGAAAACATGTCCAAGGCTCACATGGGAAAGCCAAGTTACCTCCGACCCTTGGTGTGAGCTGAAATGTGGTTTTTGGACAGCATGGATGAGAGCCCAGAATCTCAGGATTTTCGGTTTTGGAAATGTCACCTGGCTCAGAGACCTCATTCTGCATCTGGGGCTACTTAGGCATGAGTACTGAGGCCTAAGTGTTCAAGGTTCAGGGTAAATGTCCCATTCCTGGCAGGGGCAGGGCTACAATGCACGATGATTGGGATGGCATTTAGAAAGCACTTTCCAGCACCTAGTGTTTTGCAACAAATAAGTAACCAACAATTGTTTATCCACGGATTTAAAATTATTTATTGAACACCTACTATAAATTAGAAATAGCAAAAGGCACCAGAAAGTCAAAGATGCAGACCAGAATTCTGTCCTCAGGAGGAGAAAAGGAAAGGAACAGAAAACAAAGCAGGGCTGTGTGTGTAACAGCAACAGGTCAGGGGCCCAAGGTGAGGTGATGGCTCGGGCACTGTGTCTTGGTTACTTTTCTCTCGCTGCTGGGACAAAATACCTGATGCCCAAAATTAAGGAAGGAAAGGTTTATTTCGCTTACAGTTCGTGGAAGTTTCAGTCCGTTACTTGGCATATTATAAGGCAGAGTCGCACATGGCAAAGGCTGCATCTCAGGGCTGCAGCACACAGCTAAGCTGCCAGCATACACCCCGGGCAGAATGGGGGAGGAATGGCCTCAAGCACCCTTTTCCTCTCCCTTACATATGCAAACTATCCACTCCAGGGCGGGTGCAGCTCTCACACCCATATTCAAACTCTAAAAGCCTGCCCCGTGTCCACATGAGGCATTGCGGGGACACACAGACATAAACCATAACATACTGCATCAGGGAAGAGTGGCTGAGGGAGGGTGCACCGGGCTGATGGGACACCAGAAGGCAGGGAAACTGAGGCCATTGGAACGGACTCTTCTGGAAAGCAGTCAGGATCTGATACTGGGAAAGAGTCATCCTTTTGCAGTTTTGACGTGGAGAAACATTTCTAACTGGGTAAAATTCAAAATCCAGAAGAATTCAGCAGCAAGATTAATGGATCTGATCACATAAAACTTTCCCAGAATAGGAAATAGCACCATGAACAGTAAGAAGACAAAAGCTAAACTGTGAAAAATAACTTATGTCTCAAAGGCTTGTTGGCTTTAATTTAGGAAGAGCTTCTCAAACAGAAGGGCTTGTGGGGCAAAGATACAACCAGGACAGTTCACAGGAAAACAATCCATGCAGCTCTTCAAGAATGAAGAATGAAGGCCCTCCTGAGAGGAGCAAAGCTTCTGAACAGATGAAGGCTTCCTGTCTGCAGAGAGAGAGAAGGTGGCCATGGTCCCCAGTGCTCTGAGCTTCAGGTGGGTCCTCCCTGTCACCCAAGTCCATGTACTAAGCCCTGACCTTAATGGGATGTGAGGAGGAAGTGGACCATGGTGATGAGGTCAGCAGGGCATAAAGATGGAGTCCACAGGGGCCTAGTGCCCCTACGAGACAGCCTGCTTCCTGTCCCTCCTCACAGGAAACAGGAGAGCCCTCACTGGGAGTGAACCTGCCTGCACCTTGACCTAGGCCTCACCTCTAGAATGCAGGACCGACCGTGAGACATAAACTCCTGTGGCTTAAACACCTTAGTCCTCCTGGGAAGACTGAGATGCAGTGTGAGAACATAAAGTGCCACACACCCTGCAGAGGGTAACTCAGGGATAATGAGCACAAGTGCGTGTGGGTTTATCACACCTTGGAGGATCTACTCCTGTGGTTCACGGCAGCAGAGACAAAGGCACCTCCTCGTGTTTGTAAAAGGAAGGATCAGACATGACTCAAAAGTTTAGAAATATCAAAACAGTTTAAAAACTGAGTAGACATCCTCACAATAGAATACTATGCAGCTATAAAAAATGAGAAACCTCTATATACACTACTATGTGAATGAGCTCCAATATTTATCAGTAGGCTAAAAAAAAAAGTATAGTGTATTAGTTTGTCAGTTCTCTAAGCACAGCCACAATATGAATACACAAATTCACACACACACACACAAACACACACACACCGATTAAGAACAAATAAAAGGAATACTATAATTATGGTTAAACTGTCACCTAGGGGAAAGAAAAGGAAGGATGGGGCAAGGTTAGATGTTATATTTCTCTAAATATACCTCATTTTGCAGGTTTTTAACTCTATAAATATTTTGCAGAATAAAGCAAAGTCAAATGCAAAAATGCTGCCTAAAAACCTAAAGCAAAATGAAGTAGATTTCCTGAAATGAAGACACAGATGACAGCATAAACACAGCAGCTCCAAGAAACCTGAAATGAGCCACGTGGCCACATCCCTGGAGGTCCTAACTAAAGGACAATGGGACAGAAAATGCACACAATTCCTATACTATGAACGCTGTGGTGTCTGTCAAGTGATTACTGCCTTTAGCCTCATTCAGGAGTCAAGATGCAGGATCACTTCTGCTTAAGTAATGATGCCATTGCTTTGGATTTGAATTGGAAGTTCAGGATAAGCAGGCAAACTTACATTTAAAGATGCACATTTCTAAAAATTAAGAAGACCTAGAAATAATAATATTCCAGTACCAAGATGGTGTTTTGGAATACTACCACCTCCTGGGCAATCCATCCAGGTCCTCAGAAAATGGGTAATTCAAGGACTGGGTTGGGAACTGTGCCACGAACCTGGAGCAGCTGTCTAGGAGGAGGAGGCACACAGTCTCCACTCCAGTGAGGGCTGAACAGAGAAGGCACACGTGCAGAGGAGATGCTGCCGTGACATTGTGGGGTGGAATCCGGGTGGCAGCTGAAGCAGATTAGGGCTTCCTATTTCCCTGGTACCCACCAAGGCTATGCAGAAAGGAAGGGAGCTGGCCAGGTGGGGACTCCTTGGGAAGAAAAAAGGCTTGAAGTCATCCTAGAAGTAGGGGTGAGAAGAGGATACACAGTCTCTGTGTGATGGGTACAGGTGACCATAATCCTCATGAACCCACCAGCTGGGCTGTGCAATATGTCCCCAGGAATGCACAGCCCTTTGCTCCCATGGCCTCCACGAGCTGCGCTTCCATGGCCATGGATGGTTTTTACTTCTGAGATGTGTCCCCATGGCCTTTTTAACCATCTTTTTTGTTTCCTAGCAAAGAGGGAATGAACGTACTCCACCAGGCAGCCCCTAGTGTGAGTGTGACTCTGCAAGTGTCCAGCTCTGTGCAGAGCATTCTCCAAGACCAATGACCTACAAGTGTGGTGCTGGCAGGTGGCCGTGCAGAGATCAATGATCCCATGCAGAAACGAGGCAAAGCAGCACCCCCCACGCAGCCGGGGACGCCCCAGCTTCTGCCTAAGTTGTCCCAGGTCTCTACTGCTTAAACAGGAGCCCTTTCACATTGCTTTAGGGCTTTCTCTTCTGAGGTAAGGAGCCTGCAGTCCTCACCCTGGGATGGAGGAAGATGAACTGCACATAATCGGCCTTCAGATCTTAAGGACTGGATGTGTTCCAGGATAGGATGTGCCTGGTAGCAAAGGACAGGCAAACATATTGCCAAGCTCAGCCCTGGCCTTGTCCCTTGGCTGCATTCATGGCACTGTTGGCTCCCCAATCCCAGAAGTGTCAGCCTGCAGCTGGGACCAAGAGACAGCTCAAGGAGCCCAGTGACTCTGCTCTCCTCACCTTTGGGCACCGTCTCCACCTCACACTGGGTCACTGGAAAGACAGGTACACACAGCTGGGCACTGGTGAGTGGTCAGCATGGAACGAGGCTCGGGCTCCTTCTTTCCCCAGCCTCTCTGCGCATGCACAGCTGTGACCAAGTGTAGGAGACTGAAATACATCCCCCAGGCAGTCTCTGTGCTCCACAGGGGCCACAAGCCTCAAGCAGCACTGGACACTGTTCTGAAGGGACAGTTTTTCCACAGGGAACAGTTCTTCTGAGAGGACACTGACCTGA